AACAAGTGCGAACGTTGTCGTAAGAACGGATATGTTTGTAAACGATCTGATCCAACCTCGAGATGCGACCACTGCAACACATACGGCCTTATCTGCTCTTTTACGCCAGATGACGACAGACGAAAGGGACAACCACCACAAGACAAATGCGACCAATGCCGACAAGTAAAAGCCGTCTGCAGACGATCCAATCCCAACTCAAGATGTGATAAGTGCCAGTCGTTGAGCCGAGTTTGCTCTTTTGTGCCCGGAGACAACAAGTTACCAAGATGGTCAGACACATATCTCCCACCGGAGAAGAAATGCTACGCATGTACCAAAGAACGCCGCCGGTGCTACCTTACAGAGGACCCCAATACCTGCAGGAACTGCCCGATGAGAGGGTACAAGTGTTCTTTCGGTGGAAATGTCCCACGGGGTACACAGGACCCAAAGGACAAATGCAAGCAGTGCAGGAAAGGGAAAAGATGGTGTGAAGGAGGCTCAGCGGAGACAAGATGCATTCCCTGCCAAAAACGCAGATTTAGGTGCTCCATGCTGGCTCCTCTAAACGATCCGGAGTGTGTCGCTTGTCAGGGGAGCCGAAGATGGGGAAGTGCCAGGAGATGTCAGGCAATCCCATGCCTACGCTGTCGAACGTCGGGAAGAACAACCTGCAGCTTCCGTGTCAATCCGAATACTGCAGTGTATCACCCAATACGGCAAAACCTTCACCCTAAATCAATGTGGCACAGAATTGATGATCTTGGTATTCAGCATGAGTGCTGCGCCCGCTGCGCCGAGATTGGCCAGAACATTGACGTCGTCATTCATCCGGACTACGAGTTTCCATGCAACATATGTGTCGCAAGGCAGGAGCTCCTTGGAGCCAAACAAGGCGCGACGTGTCTCCAGTCCAACGATGACGGAGGATATAAACGTTATTTCTTCCGTGGCATTCTGCGGGGCCCTCCACCGCAGCATCTAAGATCACCACCACCAATGACAGAGGCAGGCACGACGATGGGGGAAGGCGAAGAAGACTGGAAAACACTGAATGACTCCCTTGATGAAGATCTCGAAATCGAGGAGGGAGAGATGCTCATCGACCCTGCGCTATTGGCGCCGCAAGCCAATCTCGCCATTACATCCTGCGCCAACAGAGGAATTCATTCGCTGTCGCCTTTGCGCATCCACGGTAACTCAACAACCTCCAGGTTTCTGTCGCCGGTCTGCCTTCGGCAAACCGCCGACAAGGGGAAGATCACCATGGAGGAAGTCCGCATGCCTACCATCTGTATGATGTCCGTCTCAGCCAACTCACTTGGTCCTGAGCCACACAACAGGAAGACGGCCTTGGACTCCACTGAATGGTATCAGTGGGAGCAAGCCATGCATGAAGAATATAGTAGCTTGCTGGAAAACAAGACATGGGAAGTGGTGGATCGACCAACAAATCGCAAAGTACTTACCGGTCGGTGGGTCTTCAAGCGGAAACTTGGCTCAGATGGAGAATTTGTTCGACACAAGGCAAGGTTTGTCGTGCGAGGCTTCTCACAGATATATGGCCTTGACTTTGATGAGACGTACGCCTCTGTCGTCAAGTCAGCATCTTACCGGATACTCTTTGCACTTCAAGCTCGATACGGATGGAAGTGCCACCAGATGGACATCAAGACAGCATTTCTCAATGGCGACCTTGAACACGAGATCTTCGTTGAACCACCAGAGGGATACCCCGAAACAGGTGATCAGGTCCTCAAGCTATGCAAATCTTTATATGGGTTGAAGCAAGCGCCAAGACAGTGGTACTCCAAACTCAGGGCTTTTCTCGAAGAAAATGGGTGGAGAGTCTCAAATTTCGATCCTTCAGTCTTTATCAAAGACGAAGAAAACCTGATCATGGAAGTTTATGTCGATGACATTAACATCTTCGGCCAGAATGAAGATCTTATCATAGCCATGAAACGTCAATTGGCTTCACGCTTTAACATGACAGACCTTGGTCTCTGTGCTTACTACCTAGGGATGCACGTACATCAAGAGGCCAATGGTGATGTTCACCTGCATCAGGAATCATACATCCTGCAGATTCTCAATCGCTATGGACTACAGGACATTCACCCACGAAAAACGCCTATGCGAACAAGCCCGAAACTAACCAAAAATGATGGTCCATCAAGAGCTCTTGACTTTCAAAGGCGATACCAGTCAAAAGTCGGAGCACTCAACTACGCAATGGTGGTCACCCGCCCGGACATTGCAGAAGCAGTGGGAGTTGTCTCCAGATTTTGTGCAAACCCAACCGAAGAACATATGAAAGCCGTCGATGATATCTATGCGTATCTCAAATATACACCCAGCCTCGGACTTCATTTCAAAAGGAACTGTAGAGATCGAGAGCTGCATGCATATGTTGATGCCGACTGGGCCGGATGTCCAGACACTCGACGTTCTACTACCGGCTACGTTATCAAACTTGCAGGGAGCCCTGTATCATGGTCGTCCCGAAGACAAAGGTCTGTGGCAATGTCAACCTGCGAAGCTGAATATGTGGCTGGATACAAGGCCACTCAGGAGATCATTTGGATCCAGAACATGATCAATAACCTTCGCATCAAAGATCTTGAAGTTGCATCAACACCACTTCTTATCGACAACAATGCTACACTCAAGCTGACACGGAATCCGGAACTGCATGATCGCACGAAACATATCGATCTCAAATATCACTTTCTGCGAGAAATGACACTAAGGGGAAGACTCAATACCCAACGGGTTAGCAGCAAGGACAACCTAGCTGATCTGCTCACCAAGCCGCTTCCCAGAGACACCTTTGAGAATCTAATAAAAGGACTTGGGATGGACAAGAGCTCCTGCACTAACCCCGTCACCCGCAGCTAGTGGGAGAGTTGTTTCTGAACAGCACGTGACGAGGTAGCGTGTATGCCTGGTAGGCATACACGCCACGATGGAGCCTGTGGCTAGGCTGCCTAGATAGGCAGACGAAGCCTACAAGTATATAAGTACCTAGATGCTCATAGGTTAATAGGATACACTTGAAGAATCACATTTACAAGTCCTTGAGGTATTCCAGTTTCGATGGGTGCTGACGGGGCTGTGTATTCTTGAAGCTTGAGGGTCGTAGACCGGTCGCTCAGGAAAGAGTCAATCCATCGTACGAGTGTAGGATCGACACCTCGTTTCCTGAGGTTGTGCAACAGTCTCGGTCGAGACACATTATCAAAGGCTCCCGACACGTCCAGCAGGAGGAGTGAAGCTACCTTACCTTCCGCCCATGCCCGATGTATGCGCTGGAGAAGGAGGTGGAGAGCGTGGTCTGTCGATGCCAGCTTTCTCCCTCCCGTATGTCGACTGGGGAGGAGGTGATGCGTGTCGGCCAGGTAGTTTAGCTGGGCGGCGATGATAGCCTCCAACGCTTTGCCCAGTGTGTTGAGAAGGGCGATTGGCCGGTATGACTTTGGCTGTGTGTAGTCATCCTTTCCCGGCTTCCGAAGAACGACCGTGATACTTTGTCTGAAATGTGTCGGGCAGTACCCCTGCCGGAGACAGGCACTAAAGAGTCTATAGAGGTGAGGCAGGATGAGGTTTAGTGTCTGGTGGAGGATGTTGTTGGGGATGTCATCTGGGCCGGGCGTCTTATTCGGTGCCGCTTTTCGAATCGCCTTTTCAATCTCAGAGGGCGTGATTTCCGGGCATTCAAACGGCGTCGGGTATTCAAATCCGTCGATGTCTGTCAGGTCGGCACTCTGCGGTGGAGGGAAGAAGGATTGGCGTAGAGTCTCCGCCTTTTCCTGGGCCTGGCGAGCAAGTCCACCTTCGGGCTTCTTGAGCGTTGGTGTGCACGTGGGCGCCACATCATGTCTGTTCTTTGCCCATTTGACTAGTTTCCACAGGCCCGAGTCTGAGCTAGATGATTCCTCCACTCTCTGCCGGTGGGTGTTCCGGAGAAGCCTCTGGAGGTGCCGTCCCTTTTTGTTGCGTGCTTGTCAGTATGCCTCGTAGTGTTTATCAGACCTCGTCCGTTGCCACAGTCGGCGTAATTGTTGAACCTCACGGCAGACGTCCTTGCATTCCGGACCAAATCCCGGTATGGAGCGTGGCGAAGGGTCAGACCAGGGAGTCGAGGCGTCGATGCCGGCGCATAGAGCATTGATGACCAAGCCGACATACCGATCGATGTCGCCTTCATTTCCCAGTTCTACCGCGTTCGGTGTCCTGGGAAGTTTCTCGGTAACCGTATGCCGAAGTGTCGACTGGTTGGTTTTCGCCCACACACGCTTCTTGGTCGGCTTGGCTTGTAACCAGTCCCACGCGATGGCCGTGGCAACTGGAAGATGGTCAGAATCACAGTCTCGACTGGTGTCCACTCGGCAGTAGATCGCACGGGACGCCACGCCCTCACTGCCAAATGTCAGATCGATCGTCGTTTCCCCATCCTTCCATCTGTGAGTGGTAGTGCCTGGTACGGTGAGCAGTCGGAGCTGGAAGTCTTCGATGATTGCGAGGAGAGGTTGCGAGGCTCCGATCCCACGAGTAGGGTGACCTGTTGCGGACCAGAGAGGATGGTGTAGGTTGAAGTCTCCAAGCAATATAATTTCATGGTCAGGACCCAGTCCAGCGACAGAGTCCCTCAAGTCGGAAAGGGTACTGCTCCCTACCTCATTGTATACATTGATGATGGATAGTTTGTGATGTAGTGTGGGATGATTAATCTCCAAAGCAACGATATCCTTGGTAATAAATGATACGTTCCACGTGCTGACATCGATTCGTTTGTTGACATAAAGGCATGCTCTTGTTTCCTTGTCGTTCATGTAGAGCAGTCGGAAATGTGTCTTTCAGGGGGTGGTAAGAGGTATTGACGAACGGATTTCGCCAGGGCTCTTGAATTGCCAGCACATCGTATGTGGTGATCCATTGGTCTTGGAACAAACTGGCGAGGACGACGTCTCTGGATTTCTGAACATTGTACTGTAAGATGCGAAGCTCCGAGTGTTCTACCATAGCTGGATTCTGGCGTCGGCACTATTTGTGGTTGTCTGGCTCCGGGTACTTCGACCATGATGGGTGTTTTCTTTGCGCGGTTTGAATGTCCAAGAGGGAGTAGTGGAGCTCCCCTTTCCCATTGTTTCCCGTACGACGCTTATATTGTTTCGGGCGTGTTTGTCCCTCTTCAAATGCATGCGTAATGACGGTGGTCTGTGGCAGTCCATCCCACAGTACACGCATATTGTCATACATTTTGCGATAGTGAGCTCAGCATCGTGCGTCGGCCAGTCGTCATAAATGCGTTGGTGTTCAGGACACTTACACCCCTTGAAAATCTTTCCTGTCGTTGAGTGCGGTTCGTTGGCTACAGATGTGGCTGGTGACGACTCATCCTGGACCGTATCGGGCATCCACGTGTTCTCTTCATCGTCGAAGATCTCATCCCACCAGGTATCTGTTTCCGGCATGGTAAGATTCCCCTCTATCCCATCTAGCGGGTATACCGATTGCTGGGCTTGGTTGTCCTCCGGAACTTGGCCATGGGGAATGGACTCTTTGGGTGCCCCGAGTCGCGGGTCGATCACGGATGCCGAAGCTTGCGGTGTACCGTCTTGTTGGGTCGCTGGTGTCGCCCAATCCTCCTGAGCACTAGGAGCAAGTATCTCCCGCTCCTCATGTTCAGGAGGTGCTTGTGTGGTGGTCTCTTCTGTAGATGTCTGTAATGCCTCTTGGGTGGTTTCAATCAAGTGATTGGTTCTTGGGCCAGAGGGTGAAGGTGGTTCTCTGTCAGCTTCCATGACCGCAGCCCTGATCGTTTGTTCCAGGACCTGGGTTGTCGTTTGTGTCGCCGTAGTCTGATTCGGGGAAGAGTCTCTTGACGAATCAGTCTCCTGGGCGGTGGTGCTGTGGCGTGCGTTGTTCATCCTTGGGCGTGTCTCAAAGTTCCGGGCAGGCACGTCCCAGTAGATACTGCGGTTTTGTTTCGCCGGTTCCACTCTCTCTAATTCCTTCTTTCTTGCTGGGCAGGCATTGCTCCATGCTGTGTGAGCACCTTTGCACACTGTGCAGCGGGGAGTGAACCCTTCCACTCTCTTTTGCGGACAGTGCTTGGCCTCGTGTAGCTCCGCACAGTAGCCACATGTTTGGAATGCGTTACATTGAGCGCCGATGTGGTCATAATGGTTGCAACGGAAGCATTGTTTCACCCTACAGGTGCGGTCATAGAGTTGGCATTGGTGTATCTGACCCTCCCATACCATGCCAGCGTATATGACGGCGTTGGCCATCTCTGGCGTGGTAAATTCGACGGCAATGGAAGATGCACGTTTGAGGGGGCCTTCTCTGGTCAGCCAGCCCACATACGATATCTTCGCGTTGGGGATCACGGTATAGTTGTCTGCCAGCATGTGTTGAATGGTCGTCTTCTGATCTTTGATATTGATGGAACTGGTAGAAATGCCATGGACGATAACTCCATAGGTCGGCACGACAATTTCTGCATGATCTCCTAGGCCTTTCAACCATCCTGTGTTCTGTTTGAGCTGTTGGACCTCCGCGCTCGTGCTTGTGAATATCTGCAGATCACCACTCTTGAGTTGGTGCGCTGCGACGAGCTTGATTGATCTCGTGCCGTTGTTGTCTCGTATGGAGTTTTGTACTTGCTGTTTGGTCCAAGCAACCGGATGGCTGCGGTACCGTTGCACCATGCCATGGTCTTTGAGCTTGACTGTCACGAGTCGATCTCTGTAAGCGGTTACTGTGGTTGAGTTCTTAGTGGTAGGTGATCCCGGTTGCACTGGCACTGGGGGTGGTGGTAACGTGGAGCTTTTGGCCTGCGCCGCGACTTGCGCCCAGGTTGTCCGTGCGACCTTGACTCCACTGAAGTTTGCCGAGTTGAGTGATGTAGTGCCTAGTCCTATAGAGCTTTTGACGGCCGTGACGTCTCTCTGAATGGTCTGGATATCTTTTGCCGCGTCTCGGATTTGGTGGAGCACCTCACCCACGGACGGCTGCTGCAAGACCTTGCCAATGAGCGCCAGAGTTGATTCGACGTAGGCGTGAACTACGGGCCATGGTATCTGATTGGTTCTGCCTCTATCCGCCGCCTGTAACTGGTTACATGCTTCTCTGAGGTATGTGGCATGCTCGTTGATGTGTTCGGGGCCATTGTTCACCTGCGGCCATCTAGGCGCCATTACCACGAAAACGCGTGTTTTGGACGCGTCAATCGTGATAATGGCCTAAGGTAACGTAGGTTACGAAGGAAAATTACAAAAATTTACGCGTTTCAAAAATTTGGTCTGAGCTGGGTGTGGTGTTTTTCTCGTGGGACCTCTGTCCGGGTTTTATAGTATTGCTTCTATTTTAGGATCTATAACCCCTTAGAGTACTGTATTCCTGTATAAGATGATCACGAAGGAGAACATTCCCTCATCACCAGTCCAACGCCAAAGGCGTGACCCATTGCAAAGGAGGAAGCGACCAGCTACCACAGGTTCTACGTAGGCTAATAGCTCAATCGACTTTTTCTTCTCACAGCACCGACTAGACTGCAATATCGATGTTATGGGCCCTCCTCCTCTACCTCCCTCGTCGTATGTCCCGCTTTACCACAGTCCTTTACGGCAAGTCTCGACGGATACCAGCACAACGACCCACGACGAACCGGTGAAACTCGAACCTTGGGATCACATCACTCATATCCCCGATCGACGGAAAGTCCAAAATCTGAACGCTCAGGTGATTATGCTCTTCCGGAATGCTTATATCGGTAAGCTTATGAATTCTGTAACACAGAGAAAATATCGCCAGAAGTCCAAAAGAAGGCTTGCAGAGTTGGAAGAACTGGCAGGTGTGAGAAGGTCGGAAGCATTACATTGTGCCAAACTCATCCCAAAAGGCGAGATGGGATTCTGTTATCCAGACTCGGAGCTTCCACAGGGCTCAGATATTACCCGTGGCTCCTCAAACAGCTCGACTGTATCGACGACAGCTCTCACGACCCTACAGCAGCCCGACAGTCGCGAGTGAAGGCATTGTAACGTCACCGAATCTACATACTGCCTCTCCTCCACGCAATGGGATCGTCAAGGTACATATGACAATGGCCGAGACATGTATTGGGAGCCCTTGGTCGCTTCTCCATCAAGGCCTGACTCCCAATCCGTTACACCAGCGGAGATGAACGACGCTTCACTTGAAGGCTGCTGTGTGGACGACCTAGAGATATGCCCATGGATCGTGGCGTATAACTCCCTATTGGGTTTGTGAACGTCTCCAAAATTACAGTACTTAGCTTCGACAAGTGAGATAGATAATGAAACGTACCAATTCCTAATTCAAGGAAACATTTTGGAGTATTGTTGGAGCCAAACCAATTCGAAATTAACTGGACAGTCTCATGAAAACTCATTTAGACACATCTGCATCCAACCCCTTCTCTAGACAAATGAACAAGATAATATCGCGTCTGATACTGTACGTAGTGACCCAGCTTGGACACGGTGTTGAACGTTATGTCCATATTTCTGTTCCGCAAGTACCGCTCTCGGTTATCCTTTGGTGACCCCTGTATCAATTCCAGCCTGTTCAAGTAATCCGCGGATGATCTTGCCCGTATTCGACCGAGGGATTTTGGTAACGAACACGACACCTCCTGTCAGATGCTTGTATGGGATGAGCTGGGACTTGACGACATCCTCGACTTGTTCCTCAGTCAGCAATGGCCGACCAGGCGCATTCAAGTCGTTCGATTGTTGGCGAACCACATACGCGCGAATCAACGTATCCATGAGACCATGGTCATTTTCAGAAGTCAAACCAGCCACCGCCACGTCGGATATCAGGGGGTGATGTGATAGGATACTCTCAATCTCGGTCGGAGACACCTGCCAGCCTTTGACCTTGATGGTTTCCTTCATTCGACCGGCGTAGAAGACCTTGCCCGCTCGAAGATAGACGAGGTCACCAGTTCGAAAGAAGCCCTCCGAGTCAAAGGCCGCTTTGCTCGCGTCCACATTGTTGAGGTAGCCGGAGAACATGCCGGGACTGCGGATCAGCCCTTCTCCAGGGCCGCCTTCGGTCGAGAAGAGGGAAGACACTGGAGAGTGATCAACTTTTATCTGGACATTCGGCAATAAGCGCTTAACGCTCCCAGTATCGTCTTTCTCCTGCCAGTAAAAGAGCGTAATCCAGCCAGTTTTAGTGGTGCCCCAACATTGCGAAATTACAGCATTTGGGCTCAAGACGTTATATAGTTGATTTTGAACCCTCGCAGACATTGGCGCACCAGCGGAAATGAGATGCCGTAATGAACGCAGGCGACGACGCCTAGACGGTGCAATTAAGGCCACGCTAGACGCTATTAAAGGCACTATTGCCACGTCAGTGATGGTAAAGCGGACGACCACTTAAGTAAAATCTGCAGTATCGAACCGTGGAAGGAAATAGGTCGGAATTCCTAACCGTATTAGAAGAAGCATTGCCAGAGGCATGGCAAAGCCATGAAAGATCGGCAAGAAAATCAATTGTCTAGGCTGTATGACACGTTAGAACCATTATCCTGCCATCGCGGTGAAGAAAGGGAGAGAAGAAATGGTGAAGAAATCATGACACAGACTAGGTAAGTCTTGGCACGAAATTCGCTTTCCAGAGTCGCAGTTTGGGTAACTACCGATCGATGAGAGAGCATGGCGGCTTTCGGAAGACCTGTCGTGCCGCTGGTCATCGCATAGGCTGCAATCTGACTCAGGTCTGGTTACTTCTAATCGTGTTCGTCACACTGAAGCAGACCACTCTAGCTTCGGTAACCCTTTGGAACCATGCCCGATTCAGGATTAACCAAGAATATGTGGCCTATGACAAGCCATTCGTGCGAAGTCACTTTAAGGATCGAGCTTGAGCAATGTCCCTGAGTCACGACGAACTTTGGGTTCGTTAACTTAAAGATGTGGGACAGCTCTGAAGGCGTGTAGCCTGGGTTAGTTCCCAGGACGCATCCTCCTGCCCCAATTACCCCGAGCCAGATCAGCGGATACCATATCTATTGATGTGCTTAGCAGTTAATTCTTTTCGAATACAGTCTATGTTCGTTGATCGGGAAGATAATAACCCCGTTTCGTTATAATGGAACCATTGTAGGGATGTCCCGACATACATTATTATACATGTGACAGTAAACCACGTCATTTTCCTGCAGTCCATGTTCTTTGAAACCCTTAACAAGCTGACGGATAATGTGATAGGCTTGGTACCAGGTTATCGATTTTGAAGGATCCCTAGTATCAATGAAGATCTAGACGTGTTTAGCGCTATCGAAAGTGCACAGGTTCATGTTAGAAGTATGGGGACGACTTACCGGTTAATCAATCTTCAACAGGCTCAGAGGATCGAATGCGAAAGTTAAAATGTCGGTGGCTGGAACAATGACCTCCTCAAGCTTAGGAGTAATGGATACGAAGGTTGACATGATGCTACAGTACTATCCTAGTTAGCAGCGGCTCTCGATGGGATAACGCAAGTGAGTTAAACTTTCGTCAAAGAATCAGTCTCGGCTGGGAGATCACGTACTTCCGCAGTCGAATCCGCCACGCAGGTCAGATTCCGTCGTCCGGAGAATACAAACCCACAATCAGACATATTTGCACGGGGTTAAACGTCAACTTATATCACTAGTGCTCAGTTTCCGCCTCATACAGATGGAAGGTGGATAGGGCCTGAGACTATTTTCAACCTCCTAGTGCTCAACCTTCTGACGCCGTAAGCATCAAAAAGCCGATCCGCCAGGGGACTGATATTGTGGCGGCCAGGAAATAGGGTACATAATTGTACTGTATGTCTCGTGCAATGTGTCTTCAGCAATCTCTAGCTATAAGTCCTTGCTCCTAGGCGAGCTTTTGGATTCTCTTTGCATGCTCATCTCAACTACTCCTATTACCCAGATCGTATTACCAAAAGAACATCCGTCCTACTTTAGCCGAAGCCGACGAGAGGCCAAATCTTTAATCGAGATGCGGACGACCATACCTTCATCTCTGGACATGTCCCGGCCAGCTTTAGACATCGCCGACCACCCGAGTTGCTCGGCCGGCGAAACTATATCACCTCTCCCTGGCCAGAAGTATCACCCTTTCATACGCAGTCTACGTTGGTCGGTTCTCTCCGTATACCGTCGGCTTTGTTTGTTGATCATCATGATTAACGTCCTTATAATGGCCGCCCTTAGCGCCAAACATCAACTCTTCTCGTTGTCATCAGGCGCCACAACTGCGGCCACCTCGATCAACCTCGTGATCGCTGTCCTGATACGCCAGGAACTGATCGTAAACTCGCTTTTTTGGTTACTGGGTCGATATCCAACCTCAAGTCCTCTTCGCCTTCGACGCCTGGCGGCCAAGGTATATCATCTTGGTGGCGTTCATAGCGGCACCGCCATTGCGGCCACCATCTGGTTTGGTATCTCCAATGTGACCCTGTTCAAATCCTTAAGCTCGATCTCAGTTAAGAAGGACCAAATCACCATCCAGTCTATCACCATTCTCCTTAACATCCTGCTAGTCATCACGATCGTAACCGCCCTTCCAGCCTTCCGCACCTGGGCTCACGACCTATTTAAGATCGTTCACCGTTTCTTAGGTTGAATTGCTATGATCATGTTCTGAACCCTGTTCGGGTTACTAGCTCATGTCCGGCTCGCCGATCGAAGTTCCGAACTCACCGTCATGGATGTGGTTGGCGCGAGTCCCGTCTTCTGGAGTCTCCTCCTTGCAACCTTTTCCATAGTGCTGCCCTGGCTTCGTCTGCGCAAAGTGCCGGTGCGTTCGGAGCCACTTTCTAACCACGCCCTCCAGCTTCATTTCACCGGAGAGGGTCTGCCGCTGTGCGCGGCGGTCCGACTGTCAACTCGTCCTCTGCTCAAATGGCACGCTTTTGCCACCATTCCATTCGACAACGGTGGAGGGTATTCTGTCATTATATCCAATGCCGGAGATTGGACGGCTCGACTGCTAGAGTCGCTACCGACCAAACTTTGGATCCGAGGCATACCGACCATCGGAGTGCTTCATATGGCATCCATATTTAACAAGGTGGTTCTGGTTGCTACGGGGTCTGGCATCGGCCCCCTGTTATCACTGACGAACCATCAGCACCTCATTTATCGGATTATATGGTTAACACCAGATCCCATTGCTACCTATTCTAAGCCTGTTATGACCAAAGTTCGAGAAGCCGACCCGGATGCAATGATCTTCAACACGACCGAGTCTGGTCGTCCTAACCTTGTTAGACACGTTTATCGAATTTACTCCATGTCAGGCTCAGAAGCCGTCTTTCTCGTTTCCAACCCACAAACGACAAGAAAGGTCGTGTACGAGCTGGAATCGCGAGGCTTGCCAATTTTCGCTCCGATTTTTGATTCGTAACCTCGGCAATCCGGAAGAATTTCAATTAGCCATGGGACATGTGCAAAGGGCCGGAGAAGAGCGATGTCGATGTTCTCTTCCCGTCCAAGAGAAAAGAACACTTCCCAGCATATCATCGTGCAGAATTTTGGGGGGAATACTTAAACTGAGGTGACGAAGCTAGGTGTTGCCACATGGTCAGCCTATCGAACATGAGGCAGTCGTGTAGGCAATGTGGCAGCCGACAAAAACATACTTAATCGAATATAGTCTGGCGACAGTGAGCCTTTGAATTGAAGATGGATTTGTAGATTTGATCCATACTATATTAGAGGCTCTTATTGATTGTATTGTATTTGTACGTCCAGACACCGTACTCTACTGCATTGTATCATTCGTCAAGCTCCATCATCAAACATTTCTTCTTTACAATACGCACACCATCATCAGCGACCCTCTTTCGTTTTCGATGGTCAGACGTTCCAAAGCAAGCGTTCAACCCTTGTGCGCTCGCCAGGTCAACAATGGCAGATGGTAGCCCGCTGATATGGGCACCTGGAGCAGTTGAGCCACCCATGCATATGGTTATGTCGATTTGATCTCCAGTTTCATATTTAATACGCCTGCAGAAATTACCATGATTATCATGGTGAGTGCCGTCATCCCATGTGCAAGAGATAGGTTGTCCGTTCACGTACAGCTGCGCACGTCCAGATGCAAGCCGAGTAAGTAATGATTTGAAAGCTGGATCGACCCCTGGTATCGAACACAAAATGAACCCGGCTCCAATGTATTTCCCATCTCGACGGCAAGGCATACCACTCAGCTCGAAGTAAAAGAGGGAGGCGATGGCGCAGTGAGCCAGGTGATCGATCGGCTCTGTTAACGAATCATCGCCCTTGACTCTATCTAGAAGCTTTCCCATTTGATTCACGTTGTTAAGTGCGTAGTCACGATCCATTTCGTGATCTAGACAGTGGTACTGAGGATAATGGGCGAACGCTTGACAAACCTGCTTATCCCTTGACTTCTCCCAGATCAGATCCTGAATGCGAAAAGAAGCCTTCCGAGGCTGGGCGGTATAAGCACCTTGTGCGAAGTCGGCGTCTAGGATCGTTCCGGTGCCTAAAGATACGATTAAATCGGTCCGTGACGACGGATAGAGCGTCTTCGCTTCTGACACCATGGTGCTGACCGGATCGTTCTCCAAAAGGCCCGCATCTTGAAACGTACCCAGTGGAGTAACCTGTTTAGTCGGAAAGAATCTATGAGGCAGAGTCAGTCTGATCTCGATGTTGCAATACGGATTATCACTCACGTTGGGGCGGCAGACGTAGCCTGGGCGCTAATCAGAGTTTATCAATATCGAAGCAGATCACAGTATGCACGGAAATAGGTCTTACATTTCCTAAAGACAAGCTTTCCGGGTTCCTACTAGTTCTCCTTAGCCACATCTCAATCGTTAACTTAAAGGATATGGCACTTACCTAGATTGAAATTATTCTGCACGGGTTTGTTATAGTTCGTAAACAGGTGGCAGGAAGGGTTCTTCAAAACCGTAGCGGCCAACACCAGAAGCTTGGTGCCTAGTCTCGTGGCGTAGGAGCAGTCCTGCATCGTCATTAACCTTCCCAGTAGAGACTGTAGAATCGAGTCGAGGTTGTCTGGACGATAACGCCCATCTTGAACATACCACTTCACTATCTTCATGAGCCAAGAGACCAGAGGAATTTTGCTTGTCTTATCTTATTCAAATGCCGCCTCCGCCAATTGCAATATTATCTGGATAGATTTGTCGACCGAGTCACCACGGTTCCACATGTTCAGTGTGACAATACTTCCTACGAGATAGTTAGCTTTCTCTGCCGGCTCTCTGAGAGTTAGACATATTCACCGGAGCTGACGGCACCTACTACCTTGAAAAACTTTTGAATCGGGATTGGGAGGCTAATTCAGTCTTGAAGTCTCCTCAACACGGTCAGCGGGATAATCGCCCGAGTTCTACCTCCATCGATGCTGAGGATGCTCACTCCACTAGTTAGAGGCTTAACAGTCACCGTAATGTCTCGATCCCATGCATGCTTACAGAGGAAGCATGACGGGATTCGATAGGTCCATGGCCAAGTGGTTTGTGTTTGTTCGAAGATTTGAATACAGGTCTCACAGAGGTAGTGCCCACAGGGGAACCAATGCTATGGCGTTCGCCGTATACAGCATAAGCAAGTAACTTCGCTGCGGATACGACGCCATCCGTCCGCAAATTGTTAAAGCACCTATAAATGAAGAGACGCGCTCAGTAATTTCGTCCTAGAGATCAATGAATCAACATATTGCGACAACTTACCCTGGACGAGCTTAAGGACGGCCGAACGTAGGATGATATCTGACGAGCCCTCGAAGGATACCACCCGGCCACTAAGTGCTTCGCGGAGGACATCCTGATAAAGCGATTGGAATATTTGCACCGAGTTAAACACTATGCCATGTTATCTGCTATTCTTTAATTTCATGAGTAGCCGGGTGCTCACACCCATAACTTACCGTGGCAGTCCGGGGGTAAGCTATTAATTATTAGACTCAAGGCGATAACAGGCACCGCAAAATTGGTCAAATCTTAAGTGGTATCGCAAGTGCTCAAGAAGTTCGTTAGGTGCACCGCATGATCTTCCGCCAGTGGGTTATGACACCGAGAGGCTTTAATAAAATCAAACGGCTCCGAGTCCGAGGTAGAGAAGTGCTCACAGGCCGATTCGAAAAAGGCTGCAAAGTGGGTCAGAGAATACAAAGTACGGGCCTCACGTCTGAATTGCTCGGCTTTTCGGATACACCGGAGGAGCTAATGCTTTAGGCGCTCTAAGGACCCTAGAGAACGAAATTTATGACTGCGGGGAACGGTAATAACCTTGACAAATGAGAATAAAACAGATGGATCTTGACTGGTCTCTTCATTTAATAACAAGAGTAGGGCTTTTTGGGCTTCAGTTTCTGCTATCGGGGTCAGTGGGATTTTGTCAGTCATGACGACCACGGAAGGTCGAGTGAAGGGTGTGAAGATAGAGATAGTCACGTTACGCAGCCAACTCACCAACTAAGATATAACTCCTCAGAATCCCCCTAGGTCAGAGGCAAAGATACAGAAAATATCGGTGAAGGGTAGAAGAAGTTGGCTATAGATTACTTGTTCAGTGCGTTACATATAATGAGACTCGGATTCGCTAGGCACGGTGCGTAGAGGCTATCTACTTCTATCGTGGTAATAGTGACGGTTCGGGGTGCGACGAACTCGTTTACTACTAACTAAACTAGTGATAACGAGGATAGGTCTTCTCGAACTAGGTAATTTAGGTACCACATGAAGGTTAATATCTCCAATATAGGTTTTACCCTTAAACAGGAGACTTCAAGGGATGTTAAAGAGCTTCTCAAGGGCGACAGATTTTGCTTGTTAACCTATAAATACGATAAGGCTAGAATAGATATCATTAGGCTACTGAAATCGTGAACTTAGCGTCTACAATCTACCTATATTAATTAGAGATGTCTTATAGCCCTGCTCGCAAATCCTAAGCCATAGATAGTGATTACAAAGCTTTATATTTATTATGTTTAGTTACTATATACTATGGAGGTCACTACTAGAGAGAAATAGTTAAAAGGAATAATATCTTTAACTTGGTTCTACCTTTATAGTAATCTGTCCTTACTCTGTAATCCCAAAATAGAAGTGCGAGTTATTAATAGATACACTAGGACTATTTTTAGTCCGGCAGGTATTTCTCAGATTAGTCGCTATTAAACTCGCTATACCTATCTATCTACGAAGATCAATTATTAAGAAAGTCTTTGGTGACGAGGCTATACATAGATACCCCCTAGTGCACATAAGGGAATTTAGGCGCAGATGTCTCTAAGAGTCACTCTTAAATGCTGTGAGCCCACTTTTAGTCTAATTTTCTAGTTTTCTCTTCTAGCTATTCAATATAAGCATTCAATACGATATAAGCTTTAAATGCTTCTCGTAGTAGCTTAGTGATTGACTACCACTTTTCTTTGCCGCGGTTAATACTATGCTCTAACCAGGCATTTTCCTCTAATAACCTCTTAATAACGTCTGAGTCCACCGAGTTCTAGAGCTAGTTAACTTAATGAAGTAATGCGTTCATGTTAGGTGCGACTTTTAATGGACTTAGACTATAAGGTTTCATGATACTTTCTATTATAGAACTTATCTTTATATATAATAGAGGGATTCCTATACAGTAGTTTTCTGATCCTAAGGTCAATAATAAAAAGGTTTTTAAAGGTCGGTAATGCTCTTATGTCCTTTATAGCCTAACGGTGTAAGAAGCTAACTAACGCGGGATTATATAGGCCACACTCGGCACCACACTATTTCCATTGAAGTGAGCTAAGATAAACGTACAGATTATGGGTCACCCCATAGACTATATATACCATAGTACTTAACCATAGCATAGAAGGTATATATTTAACGGACTTAATTTAGGACCAACATTAAAACATGTTAGCCCGCGATGTAATGGTCATTAAGGCGGACGCTATTTCATAGCGCTATAATGCCCTTACCTTCCTATTATCTTAGCTAATTCACACTAGCTACCTATTCCTCCTAGGCACGTTCACCTCTCTTAAGAAGTACCTCAATAACAAGAGCAGCTATCAAGTGATTGAGGCGGTGAAAAATGTTCCCCTTCTCTGGCTGGCCACTATATGCTGCATTGTTAGGACCGCTAGGCTGGGCTATCTATGGTGAACATAGAGTTCTAATCCAGTTTAGCTCATTCGAAATTTGTTCTTATGAGTGGCAGGCCTGAATGTAGGACATAATAGGATAACCTTAAGTTAGCTAATTATAAGCACTCTAGGCCAGAGATAGCTAGCTTATTTCTTAGCTCATTAAATACGCTTATTAATGTCTACTCCGCACAGAATGGATTTTAGTCACTAATGGCGGTCATTACTATGACTATTAACACAGTATTTCTGGTGGGAATGCTAGGATCTTTGCTAATTTATAAGTATTAGCTCCATGTGATTAATTAATCCCATTTAGGTAGCTCTTCTCGATGGAACTTATGATGCTAATGAGCTACTATAGAGTTCTGCAGAGTGTTAATATAAGAATAAAAACTGAACACTATAAAAGCCACTTACCATATATTTCTAACTATATAATACTATCTCTATGTCCTATTTATAAACCGCATACTATAATTCCCTGATTCTGAGTATATTTCTCACTCTTAGATTACTTTAAGCTCCCTCTTCTAGGCACGTGTAACTTGTCGCTTTTGGTTCGCCCTTAAATCCATGCGCGTGGTGAATCTCGGTTCGCGATAGCCGTTATCCTTAGTAGGAATCTCAACATTCGCGCACGTATTAGCCTTGCTATGAAAGTAAAGATGTACTATAGGCTTCTTTCAGAGGGTATATCTCGACACGCCCAGTGAGGTAACTCTGTCAGATTCCGACTGCGAACAAAGCTCCAAAGAATAATACCTTTAGTAACGATAACACCTAGGTCGCAGTTAGTGAGTATTATCATTTCTTCCTCCATCAGATATTATGTTGAAAGCTAGCGGTTAACTTCGTAGAGATTTAATAGTGTATGCTTTGGTTAATTCAAGATAAAGGTTAGGCGATAAACGTAAGTCTAAGTTAAAGAATATAATTTGAATGCCTTTATAATAGCTTAATCCTATTTAAGGGAAGAATATTTATGAGCGTGTTACTATAAGCGATGAGAAACTAACTGTATAATAAGGGTTATATTCAGGTCTAAAGCATAGAGCTAGTCCTATATAGAGGCGCTTTAGAGATATTTTTATGCTCGTGGGTTAAGTCAGTATTTTTAGTAAACAGGGTGTGCTATCTTTATTCCTAGCGTCTCGGCGCCCATGTGTATATTAGCTATTTAAGTCTGTCTCTTCATATTCCCTTATCCTATATAGTACTGTATCTGAAACACTTTAGAGCATGATTAAGTCCTTTGCTGGTGTCATAACCTAAGCTCACTACCTCCATAGCCATTACTCCTCCTTATTACAAGACGGATATTCCTAGGGTGTCTCTATTCCCGACGTTCAAAAGTCTTTTGGGAAGAACCACTAAGGGACCGGGTAACATTGATTCTGCAGTCATGTCAATACCTAACTACAGTATAATGGCGCAGATAAGGCAGGTATTAAGTACTAAGGCTTAGTCCGAAAATGGTGACTTTCCGTCTTCTACACAGCTCAAAATATATGACTGTTCACTCCTCCGGATCAGTATATAGACTTCCGCATAGCATTTCTTATGTAGGTCGTACCCACTCTTAAAGAGGCTTTTCTTGCGTCTATAGAATCGTGTTCGTTCACGTTTAGCATTTTAACGATGAATGCGTAACTGAGACTCCGATTCCGGTATTATGCTAGATAACTGCATTTTAGGAATTGAAGTTTGGGATTTAGTATAATTGAAAGTTAGAAATCGATACTAAAGAAAGCATTATTATTGCAAAAGAAAGCAAAGAAAGAGGAAACTTTCGAACTATTCTCGTAACTTATATATGAGATAATTAGGCAAAACCAGATAAGTTCCCGTAAATTATACTG